GTAATCTTAAGACAACTGAGCATAGTTTCTCAAGATGATCATCAATGTAACATACTTGCATGACGTGTTTCCCCAACACAAATGGGTCATTCTGAAAACCTAATTTGTTCAAATTAACCTCAGTGTATCCCAAATCATCTACCTTAATCCCTCTATTCAAATCTACCCATTTACAATGAAAGATGGGAACCCTAAACTGGGTATAGTCTAACTCCCAAATTTCTACGATAACACCGTAAAATGTGTGTGTACCATGCTGGATGTTTTTTTCCTTACCAACTACAAGCATTGTTTGAGCTTCTACACAAATACCACTACACTGAACTTGACGCAAATCATCACGTTCTTTGGTGCTGTAGGTCACACCATTGATTTTATACCCACTGAAAGTGGGTACATCCTTGTTAGGCCCTTCTGCAATCCACAATAGTTCCATTGATACCGTATTATTCTCCACTAGCAAGTCTGTTGAAATTTGTCCAAATGAAGTACCACAAGTACATTAACTTCAAATATTGCTATATTATTCAACAATCTCCACAAATAATATATGATGACATATTTGAAGTACTTACTTTTCTACGAAACCAGCCCGGGAAAGTTTCTTTTTGCTTGTTCTTGAGCCACTCCTCATCATTAGAACGTTGTGGATACGTTTTCACCAAAGCAGCCATATGTTCACTGAAACAATTGTATTCTTTAATAATATTATAAAGAAGAATGAAAGCAAAGAAACTGTCAAAAATAAAAAAAAAAACATAACTTACATAAAGTATGGTTGGACATCATCACAGTTTTCGAGGAAACACAAATGTGCTAGGTGCAAGTCATTATTGGTCGGTGTTATCATCATCGCACCAGACAGGGGTCTAGATTGTGCATCCTGGAAACTTTTTGGCAATCCTACTGTAGAATCTTCATAACTCACTAAGCACTCAATTGCCTCCTCTGCAATATACGCTTCGGCAATTGAACCTTCAAGATAAGCACGATTGCGTACATATCCCTCGAATGTCTTCATTTATCGTTCGAAAGGATACATCCAACGTAGCCAAACTGGCCCACAAAGCTTGACCTCTCTCACAAGATGAATTGAGAGATGGACCATTATATCAAAGAAAGAAGGAGGGAAATGTTTTTCAAGCAAACATAAAGTCTCTACCAACTGGGATTGCATTTTTTCCAATTTATCGACCTCAATGACTTTGCTACAAATTGCCTTGAAGAAGAGGCAAAACCTAATAATAGTGGACCGCACATCTTTTTGTAACACCGATCGTATTGCAATGGGGAGCAAGTGATGCAACATTGTATGACAATCATGAGACTTCATCCCGACAACTCGAATATTTTCCATCGATACTAGACTCTTGACGTTAGAACAAAAACCTTCAGGTAACTTCATGCCAAGCAAAGATGAGAAAAGTATCTTTTATTTCTTTGTGCAATAAGTTACAAGATGCAATTGGTAACTTCTCATTTTTTCCGGGATTTTTGGGCATCAACTCCGTTCTAATTCCCATTTCAGCCATATCGATATGCACAGATTCCCTATCTTTTGTCTTCCCTGGTATATTAAGCAACGTACCAATTAATGCCTCACATATATTTTTCTCAATATGCATTACGTCGAGAACATGCCTTACTGGCAGAAATTTCCAATATTCTAGTAAAAAAATAGACATCTTCTTCCATGTAGGTCGGATGTCTCCTTTTTTAGACGAGGATGTGGTTGTCTCTTCCCGTAGACATGGTCACTTAACGATTGCACACGTAAATATACCTCTTCCCCAGTCAATGGGATATGAGCTGTATTCTTTTCCACTGTGTTATCAAAGGCTACTTTTTTCCTTCGATATGGATGTTGTCATGGCAACCACCTGCGATGCTTCATAACCACCATCTTACGGTAATTATGCAACCTGATAGCATTTGTTTTATCACCACAAACAACACATGAATTATAGCCTTTTACAACATTGCCTGACAAATTACCCAATGCGGGATAATCACTAATTGTCCACAACAAAACTGCCCGCAATGTGAAGAACTCTTTTCTGTACGCATCATAGACTTGAACACCAATCCACGACCTCGGAAGATCTTTAACTACCATCTGAAGATAGACATCAATGTTGTTTCCGGGATGATTTGGTCCTGATATCAACATGCTTAAAGTTATATACTTTCTCTTCATACACAACCAAGGTTGTAAGTTGTAAATCGATATTAAAACAGGCCAGCATGAGTGCGTTGTAGAAACTCCATGGAATGGATTGAATCCATCAGTTGATAAAGCTAACCGAAGGTTTCTAGTGTTAGAAGCAAATTCAGGCCACCGGTTGTCAACATCCTTCCATGTTTTCGATTCTGCGGGATGTCTAATCTTGCCATCCTTTTGTCATTCGCTGTCATGCCAAGTCATATCCTTTGCAGTATGTGGTGTACTAAAGAAATTCCTCAACCTCGGAAGTAAAAGAAAATACCACATAACTTTAGCGGGTACCCCTTCTAATTCTTTGCCCTTTCTATTCAACTTCCATCTAGAAATCCCACATATACGACATGTTGTACTATATTCATCTCTCTCTCCATTATACAGAAGACAATCATTCGGGCATGCATGTATTTTTTGATAATCCATACCTAAAGCACATAAGGTCTTCTTTGCTTCACCAAACGACGAAGGCATGCAGTTGCCCTTTGGGAGAAATGTCCCTAGCAAAAGCAGAATTTCAGAGAAGCATGAATCAGAAATCCCATGCTTTGCCTTCAAGTTATATAATTTCACTAGTGTCTTCAGCTTAGTGTAGCTCTTGCATCCCGGGTAAAGGGGTTCAGAATCCCCTTGGACATGGTTCATGAAATCAGAGTATTCAAAAGAGTTGTCCTCGCCATCTTCTTCGTTTTTTTCATCTGTTCCATCGACAAATGAGTCATGAACACGTTTATAGTGTGGGTGAGGGGGTTCATCCTCTAGATTCAGCTCTCCGTGCCATATCCAACATGTATACGATTCATCAATACCATGTTGGAAAAGATGTGCCCTAACTGTTTGTGTGTTCCAGGATTTTGTGTGAACACACTTTAGACATGGACAACTAATTTTTTGTCCCTCAAATCTGTTTTCACTTGCAGACCTTAACAATTCATCCACTCCTAGTTCATACTCTCTCTTCTTCTATCGGATTTCATCCACAATTTATCCATACGTAAATGAGATAAGAGTGGTGACTTACGAGACTCATGTCATGACCTATTTCTAGCAGAGTATTACTCCATCGCCGAAAATACCACAGTGATGAACAAACAGCTAGACTTAAATTAATAGCTGTCATGTCTGAACACGAGAGCTCAATTTCACCCTAGGCTTAATTTCATCCCAGCTCGATCCCCATAGGGTTTCCACTCGCTAATTATAAATGTCAAACACACTGTTAAATATACCAATAACCCGGTTTCAGTTGTTACAACAGGTATGGTACCAGTATAAGCAAAGTAACCAACTGCTACATGTAACGATAACCGAAGTCAATCTTTAGTCATACTCTACTCGTTCCAGTGATAAAGCATAGTCTTTAATTTAAGAATAACACTAAATAATATCCTTGTTTTCACAATTCATCCACTGCTCTCGCTGTCCATAATAACACTAAATAATATCCTTGATTGCAATTCTTTTAAATAATTTTATGTGAAAATTGGTATGAAATTTTTAAAAAAGTTACATATCAAAAAACTATATCAAAACATATGCAAAACTGGATGTGACACAAATTTATTATTTTATCAAATAAATAACAAACATTAGTCAACAAAATCGTAGGAGTTTGAAAAAAAATTAACTTGAACAAGGAGTTCATTTCTAAAACTAAAAACTTTACATTTTTTACTATTTTTTTAAAAAATGTGTCAAATCTACTACGTACATGTGAAAAAAAGGGATGAAGAACATTCTTTTTAAAACTTTTAAAATTTTGGCCAAAATATTGGCCAAAATCTACTACGCACCAAATATTGGCAAAGAAGAGGCCAAAACTTTTAAAATTTTGGCCAAAATCTTCTAGGTGCCAAGCATTCTCCCTCTAAAATTTTGGCCAAAATATTTCATAAAATTCATCCACCCTCCAAAATTAAGCTGGAAGCTCATACGTAGCTTGTACCTGTACCTCCCAAAAATCGAGAACGCCTCCAAAAATTAACTTCACCTAATTCAATCAATTCATCCACTGTACTCTGAACTTCAATTCCTACCTCCGGTCGCCTCCTCACTCAATCTTCTCTTCTCTGATTGACTTCCCTCAGCGATACTGGAGCCATAAACTACCATTTTTGCCAAGATTGGAGCTGAAAACCCTAAAATTAGGTAAGTCGTAAACCTCAAATCTAGTATTCCCTCCAACAATAGTCACCATATTTGTTTTCCTAAAATTGTCGAATTCTCTAAGGCCTCTTCTTTGCATGCGTCTACCTCGCTGCTCAGATCCCCCCAAAGAGGTCAGGGTTACATTTCTCAATCCATTGAAGTCAAACTTCATTGGTTTGTTGTTATTCTTTTTAATTTAATATCTGTAAAGGGTTGCTTCTAGGATTCAAATCCTCACCATGTAGGTTACCAGAAAGGGTTCAACCAATTCCTTAATTCGTTGAATGTGACCTGAGAGCAGCAATAATGAACAATTTTTTATCTAGAGTCAACTCAATACTCCTTCCATCCTTTTTAAAATATATTTAAAAAATATTAAAGATAATACGTTTTTTTATCTCAATATATTGTTACAGACCTTTGTTGTTTGTGTAATGCTTGACATCAAAATTATTTTACTGTTTTAGTGTCTCTTATCACAATAACTCCTGAAAATTCACCTAAAAAATGAATGTGATAACCCAACTAAGAATTTAGGCAAAACCCACCTAAGAAAGGTTAAAGCCTTTCTGGTTCATTATGCGCAGCATTTATTCGATATATACTGCGTACTCCCTTACCCGTCACCCCAAAGCCAAAGCTTATATCTGACAATGTACAAAAATAGATCAAGCAGAAGAGAAACCGGGAAGAAGTAGAAAGTGAAAGTGTGGCCAAGCCTTCTGGGGGTGGGTTGAAACTTTGGAAACGTGGATGTGTTTCAATGCACCGCGTTGTGAAATGTAAGATAAATGGACAGAAACCAACGGTTTTGTTTAATGTTAAGGGACAACCATATGGTGTGGCTGCTGTAGAGATGCAATCTTATATTGGAGTTTTGGCCAGGACTAAAGCTCCAATATGGTTTGACACTTGGAGGCAAGTTCCGGTAACCATCAAGAACAAGATTTGGAAATCTGTCACGGTAAATATAACCATACTAACACTTGACTAGTCCTTACAAAATAAATGACTTGATCATTAATTATATACCTATGTTTTCCAACTGACTTAGACTAATAAATTCCTCCCATGTTTATGCATATAGTTGGGGTTCGATCTACCCCCTTATGCATGAAAACTTGTGCTGCAGTCGGCGAATTCGAAGTGGAAACAATTCAAGAGTACCCTGACATGTCGATATATTATTCCCTTTAGAGATGAACCTGAGAAGCTCAGGACTCCACTAGATGACTTCTCTTTCCTGGAGAAGAATCATTGGGATATTTTTGTTTTTGATCGTCTAAGCCCCGAGTTCTTGGTAAGACTATGTTTCCATTGTACTTTATTTAAAATACTACCTTTTTGATGCACTGTCCTTTTTCTACAGAAAGTCCATGATGAGCATGTGAAGAGAGTTGAGGAAAACAAATATCCTCATCGCTTGTCCCGAAAAGGCTATGCAAACCTGGAACAAGAATGGGTTAGTACTCACTGATTTATGCGGAGTTCTGTGTTAGGAGTATTCCTCTTCTACATGTAAATTTTGACTATGATACATTACTCACTAAATGAACATGCAGGCAAAAACACACAGTGGAGATGAGTCAGTCATTGATCGATCTGTTACGTGGGTCTTTGCAAGGAAGGACAAAGAAAGAAATTTCAAAAGTGAATCTACATAACAGAAGGCGGAGGAAATTGTAAGTTTTTGTTGCATTTCTGAAAATTAGTAAGCTCTTGCACATAATGTTGCTGTCTGTCTCTACTCCCAGCAGCCCTGTTGTTTTAGTGTAATGTTAAAACTTTGAGTTCTATACCACTCCTATTTTATTGATAGAATTCCGGTTCATTTTCAGGAGTTCTTAAGGGAACAAGTATGTTCTGGTGTGCTTACTGAAGAAGGTGATGATGATGTATTGACCAAGGCTCTTGGGAAGCCAGAGCACGGTGGAAGAGTTCGAGGTCAAGGAATGCATGTGAGGAAGGCAGTGTATTTCAATCTCCTGCGGTCAAAGAAGTAAAAGACACAAACAATAGTTGATGAGCAAGTGAAAGAGGGTGTGAGACAACTTTTGGCAGAGGAGGTGAATAACATTGTTGCTTCAAGAGATGCTTTTTGAATGGTTGAAATAGAGAAGTTGAAATCAGAGATCTGGAAGAAACAAGGAAGTAGTCCCGCTGTCCCTTCACAAGAGGCTAGCTGCTCACCTAAATTCAGGGAAGGTGGGCAGAATCAACAAGTGGCAAGGAAGAATCTGAAGGACTCATTTGATGCAGAACTTGAACCACTCACAGAGAATAATGACATCGGTGATGAGTATAATCATAAACTGTCTGTGGCTGAGCATGTTGATGAGAAACAAAATGAAAAAGAATGAGAGTGAAGATCAAAAAATTGATATTGTGGAGAAGCTTGTGGAAGTAAGAGGACTAAAAGTAGAGAAGAAAGCTGAAAAAGATGTCTTCGTTGATGTTGATTCCGGGGAAAGCCAAATGGCACAGCTTGATGTGGGTTCTGTGGACAATATTGTTGCGTATGCAAAGGTGTATGGATTCTCCCAGATGGATGACCTCACCCTACATGGTAGGGGTGGGTTCAATTTTGGCGGTTCGGTTTTTACCCAAAACCAAAGACAAAACGAAGGTAAGTTAGCGGTTCGGTTCGGTTCGGTTTTGCATAAAAAATATGTAAACCGTTGGTTATTCGGTTCGGTTTTATGCGGTTTTTATCTTAGTTTTTTTCGGTTTTTTCGGTTTGTAAAAGTAAATATTTATTTCGTAATTTTTAACATATTTATGATTGAGCTGCTTCGTTATTGTTATGCATTCAAACCCAAACCAAAAAAACGAACTAAAAATGTGTGTTTTTTTCGGCTCGCCTTCCAATCACAAGAGTAACCAAGTTAAAATATATGTTTTATACACAGTTCACGCTAACAAACATCTAGAAGATTCTAAATAATCTTAAAGATATTGTATGTAAAATCAATTGCAGAGAATTTGGATTTTTTTATATAATACTTTTATTTTCATTATTACATCAAAGTTTTTTTTATTTAAATATGTTAACTACTCATTTTAATTTTTAATGTAATATAATTCTATATTAGGATTAGTTATTGGTATTTATATTCTTAGATTTTTTAAAGTTTATAATATGGTTAAAATGTTTAATTAATAGTTAAGAAAAAAACTTTAATTGACTAGTAATTTATTTGCATTTTTGTTTATATGATTTTTATACATATCACATATACTCATATAAATAAAATGAAGCATATAAATAAGTTCGGTTTATTTGGTTTGGTTCGGTTTTTCAAAGTAAAAACCAAAACGGAACCAAACAATAACGGTTCGGTTCGGTTTTTTTACATTCGGTTTTGGTTTTTTCGGTTCGTTTTTTTTCTAGCTCATTTCAATCGATTTCGGTTTGGTTTTCGGTTTTCGGTTTTCCGGACCCAGCCCTACTACATGGTGAAAAACTGGGGGAACAATATGCAAAGGTGTCCATTACAGAAGCAATACAAGGTTTGCATGATCAAGTTATTAATATTTTGAATGTATAACCTAAGCATGAAATGCACACATTTTAGAAGTACTCATGTTTTTAATATTTGATATTTGCCAGATGTTGACATTCCAGTCCCAATCCCCGGTGAAGTACTTACTGTTGAACAAGCCAAAGGAACTTTTGTAGCATGGCCTAAGGAGCTGATAGTCTTGGATGTGCTTCCTAAAGGAAAGGTTATTATATATCTACTATTATGTCTACTTGATTCTTTTAGATAATATATTTACCCACATGCACTTTTTTTATAGAGCAATTTAAAAACCGTCAAAAAGAAAAAGGCCCCTAAAAGATTGAAAAAGGCACATGTTCCAGACGATGAAGATTGTGCCCAAGAGTTCCAAGTAGAATTTGGTCCTGAGTATCCACTACAGTTGAAATGGCTATGGTTGTGGGCAAAGGAAGCATTATCTGATGATAGAGCACATACTTTTGTCCTTAAAAAAGATGCCTTTGGGGTGGAAAAGAAGTTATCGGTTTTTCTGAGCGATATACATGCTCTGTGCGCTCGTGGCGAGATGGCTGGAAGCATAATTACAATATACATCCAATAAGAATGTCATCACACAAAGATTTTATTTTCATTGTTAAAAGCCTTATGATATAATATTCTTATGGACAAATGACATAACTATCAAATAATTACCCTTGCAGCTACCTGTATGAGCTTGTGAAAAAGAACAAAATGCTTCAGATGATCTCTTTCGTGGATCCCGGCATGGTAGGGACGCTTGCATGTGGGAACATAGGGCAGAGGTCACGCAAACTTGCTGATCGCTTTAAGGGGGCCTGTGATGGACAACACTTTCTAATACCGTTCAATGACGTGTGAGTATGTTTAAGTTGTTCATGTCAAGAAATGATGTTATGAATTGTTTCTTCCTTGTGAAGTTAGTATTCAATTTGCATTGTAATGCTTTGTTAATACACTTCTGTAAATGCGAATTTTTTTAAGTTCGTGTGAATTTCGTAATTCATATATGTTTTTATTTGTACGAATCATTGGGCTTTGACTGTTTTCAAACCTAATGAAGAGGTAGTGTACTACATGGACCCCCTTAAACGGCGTATAGATAGTCAGGAGTGGACTGAAGTGGTTGATAAGTAAGTAGTGACTCAATGAACAAAAATCTTTGGTATTTGCTATCACTTTTGCTTATAACATTTTTCTATTTATCTTTTTTGGTTTCCTTATAGTGCTATAGTTTTGTACAAAAATACCATGAACACACCTATGTTGAAGAAGAAAGTGTCCTGGGAGAATATGGCGGTATTATATGATTCTTATTATTTGGTATGTAATGCAGGTTGAATGAGAAGTGTTGTATTACGTACTTTATATTTTTGTCTTTTAGGTCATCCCGATGCAAAAAGAGAATGTAGACTGTGGCTTCTTTGTAATGCGATACATGAAAGAAATCTGTCAGGATAAGGAGGTTGAATTTGCTTCAAAGGTAATATTGGTGTCTTAAATGTAGTTTTTCTTTTTTCTTTTGCTTCACACTAATTGTGCCTTTCTCTTATTCTGGGGATATTTACTGTATTGTATGTTATCATACCATTACTGAATTGCAATGTTTGATTTGTCACTTTTAGGAGTGTTCTCTATTAAGTGCTTCTTTGTATCCGTGTATCATTTAGGAGTGTGTTTTTTAGTTTGAATTTCTGGATAAATGCAAGTCCTGCTACATGCTCTTTACACAGTTTTAAGTTGAAGCTAAGATAGCGCTGTACAGAGTATTTGTATTTTGTGAAGCTAGAGGGTTTTGGATTTCATAAAAGCTATTTTTTACTTTGTTTTATATTTTAATATCATGCAGCATATCAACTGTTTATATGCGCAAGTAATAATATATTCAAAATGATGCTCTTCTTCTATTTTCTTATACTCAAACTGCTTAAAATAAACAATAGTTGCTACATCATATTTGTTTCTGTGGGTGAAAGCTAAAGACTATCCCCTTATAGAATACATTAAAAGAACATGACAAGCCATGTGTTGTGTACACTTCTGGTGTTTGTAATCAGAAGAGACTTTAACATTAAGTAGAGCCTCTTCTAGTTCACTAATAATGTGTACTACTCAATGCAAGTGAAGGTTTGAGTATTATTTATTGGTCAGTTCTTTAGTGTTGGTCATCATGAATAATGTACTTCATACAAATCAGTTCTTATGTGTTGCATCCTATATTTTTGGAATTTACTTCACTTCTATGATTGGATTATTAGATATTTAGTTTTTTTCTACGATTTTCAGTGGGCGCGTCGGGGAAATCTGGAATACACCGAGGATGACATCAATCAAACAAAGGTTGAATTTGCAAAGTATTTTATGACGAATAATGCCATTTGAATGGTTCTACCCCTGGACTTTGTTTGTATGTTTTGTTAGATTGGTGAATCATGTATTGGGAATTTATATTTCTTTTCTGATCAATCTTTCTATTTTCACATTTTCTATGTATTGGGAATTTATATTTCTTTTCTTATCAGTCTTTCTGTTGTATGATTTATTGAATGACCACTGTATTATAATGCAAAAAACGTGGTCATCCACCAAATACAGTACTCCGAATGGTTGAGGTACAACACCAAATGACAATAGTTTGAATATCTGCAACACAACGCCATAAAACAAAAGCATCTGATTATGATAGGCAGCACAAAAAAATGCTTGACTTATAAACAGCCTTACTACTGTTAAGTTCATATTACAAATATTTTATGAACAACTATATAAACTAGTAGAGGTAATAGCTGCTAGACATCTGGTACTCGCGATTGTGTGAAATGAAACATAATCGTATTCTTAGTTTTAGATATACCACAAAAAAGAACAGTTCTCTAATGCAAATGTTTTCAATGGTATTACAAGCAGCTGTCTGATAACAATTTCGACTACTCTCCCAAAATATTGTTTGAATGGGTGGTACGCCAACGATCCAAAACAGTACTGTTCATAGATGTCGTACAACTAAAAAAATAGTTCTTTAAGATAAGACCAAAATAATAGTCTGAACATTATACATACAACCCAACGTAATAGTTATTTGAAGCAAATACTTATAGTGGTCTTCCGAGCTGCTGTCTGGTAGCAGATTCAACTACTGTTTGAAAGTATAGTCTAAATGTTTAAAGGACAATGAACAAAAACTGGAGTGTAAATAGACAGCATACAACCAAACAAAAAAGTTGTTTAAGGTATGACCAAAGTAATAGTCTCAACGTTGTACATACAACAGAAGGTAGCAGAGGTTTGATGGAATTACTTATAGTGGTCTTCCAAGCAGCTGTCTAATAGAACATTAGACTACACTTGGAAAACATAGTGTAACCGCATCAATCCCAACTACAATAAACCATTGTCGTAATAATCCATATACAATTAATTAAAATAGTTGTTTTTAAGTAGTTGTCTGAAATTCTATATGCAACACAATAAAACCATTGTTTGAGTATATACAAAATTGTAGAGTCAATCACGAGCAGACCACAAATATTCAAAGTTGTTTTAAGATAAAAAAACACGGGTGTCAGATTTGGATTTGCACAATTGTTATAAAGCAAGGTCTAGCATCCCATCAGACCGCTGCTCGGAAGACTACTGAAAACATCAATTTTAGACTACTAAAATAAATAGTTGTCAGCCTCTGTTTTTTACGTAGTGGGGTAGCACTCTTTGTAAAGTAGAGTAGTACTCATTCTTGCACAAATATAATTAGCATGGTCTCATTCTAAAATAATGCATTACTCATTTTCACACATTGGTTCAATATAATTATAATATTCATCTACAAATAATGTAGTGTTCATTCTGAAACAAAACAGTACTCATTCTCTAATAACATAGTTTTCATTCTCATGTAAAATAAAATCCATACCATAAATAATTTCTTGGTTGTACCCAAAATTGGGTACAACCGGATGTATAATATAATTTGCCTCGGCGAAGAAGGGTGATAGAAGAGAAATAAAATATAGTGCGAAATAGAGTGAATAGAGAGAATAGAAGACAACATAAAGAGGGGGGACGCACAAGAGCAATGCAACAAATCTAAGTTCCAAATCCAGTTTTTACACTTCCAACAAAATCAATCACAAGAATTCAACAATTTAATTCACAAATTCTACATCAATTGGTAAGACTATACCAACGATAACTACTCTATGAATTAATTCTAACAAGAGATAAACCATGACTCACCTTGATTTAATTGACCAAAATATCAAATTGTTTGATGTATAAAATCCATCGAACTCCGGTGAAGCTCCTCCTGTTTTGGTCTGTTGTGCGCGCAGAGGATTGACAAAGGAACAACGATGATGACAAATAAGGCTCTAAGCATGTATCTATATATGTTCGTACTGGCACTCATAATTAGAATAGGAGTAGGACTATATCCTATGGAATATACTATTAGTATTACTTTTCAATTAAAAAACTCTTTTATTTATTTATTCTACTATAATATCTATTTTGCTCATAACTTTTTATACATAAGTTCAAACTTATCAAACAATGTCATTGTTCATATTTTCACGAGACCTATCCAAAAACACAAAATTTGTTGGATAATACTACTTTTATATTATATTTGTATTTTATTGGTTTTTTAAGCCCCTAACTTTCGCAACTTGGATTCATGCGCGGAATATTCCATTGAACTCGTCTCGTCAGGACATTCAATTCGAGTATAAATTTGTTTATAACTTTAAAAATAACTTATTTTAGTGTTACATGTGGAGTATCATACTGAGTTTGCTCAGAAAGTAATAGAGAGAAAGGATATGCTCGTACTTATTGTTCAAACTTTGAAAGACAATGTGTATGGAGCATCTAGCATGGGGGAGAAGACCAAACAAGATAGAGAACTTGAGTTTCTCTCTTTGTCTTTAATGTAGTTAAGTTGTATAACACCTGTTGACATTTTTTTTGGACAACACTATTAGTATTTGGGTCATTTTTGTAGCTAGTCGTTTTGATTAAATATAGATCTGTAGCATCCTATCCCTCGTCTCAAGCAACAAGGTGTCCTAGTTTTAGTAGAACACTTTTCAACGCATGTCCCTCTCTAGTGACTTGTTGCATGCTACTACTGCTTTTCTACAGCTCTCAAAACTTCTCTCCTCAAGAGTCCTGCATTGTTGAGATATGCGTGAAGCAATACCCAGACTACTCTTGTGGAAAAAGGCTTCGAATGAAGGAGACTTTGGCTATGACTCTACTAGAAATTTCCACTATGGTATTTATATTGAAGAACCGTCTCATATGATCACGGGAAAAAACGGATCAATCAATAACTAAGAGAGAGAGAGAGAGAGTAGTCCTCACAACACGAAAGCAGTCATATATCATGACACACTTTTTATATCAGAGCATGGTGATCTTTGAAGAAGAATTACAAACTATAATCCTCGTTGTGAAATTGCAGTTTACAACCACATCCGGAAGTTAAGAACTATGTAGATATCGCAACAGGCTGACAACACATCCTTGATGTAGTTAATGAAGATTGTGTAGCACGCCAAGGAGAAAGACTCAAACAAAGTTTGTAGTCAGTAATCACTTGTAAGTCTTTAATCAATACATTAAGGCACTCCTGTGTAGTTGATTGAAAATGCTACGGTGATTTAGTGGAGGGATGTTAAACGGATGTGGGCGTCGTAGTTCTAGGAGATTCATCTCTGAATTACATCAACAATTCTTATGCATTGCTTACAATCTTTACTCTATATACTGTGTATGTGTGTAGGGACGACAATTCAACCCGAACCCGAGCTTAACCGACCCGACGACTACTAAAATATCCGAACTAGAACCGAAAATAAAATAATCCGAACCCGACCCAAAATTTTTTACCCAGACCCGAAATCGGGTCGGGTCGGGTGTGGATTTATAATTTTACCCGACCCGACCCGAACCCGAACCCGACCCGACTAAAACCCAGATATTTTATTACATAAAAATCTATCTATGGATATAATGAGCACTCCGTATAATCTCTTGACAAAATGCTATTATATCAAATATGCTTTTTATAATCATTTTTATAATTCCTTGATAAAAATGAGACATAAAAAAAGAGACGCAAAAAAAATTAGATTTAATCTTTTCAAAATTATTGGGGTACGTTGAATTGATTATTGGTTAAAAGTCGGGTTCGGGTCGGGTTCGGGTTTCGGGTTGAAATGTCAGGTCGGGTCGGGTCGGGTTTCGGGTTGAAATGTCGGGCTTCGGGTCAAGTTCGGGTTTTGGTTTTAAAAGTCGGGTCAGGTTCGGGTATAGTACTATCCGACCCGAACCCGACCCGTTGCCATCCCTATATGTGTGCATGTAATGGAGGTGTTTTAGCACTTGAAAATTTGTAAAAGCATCAATAAAAATTTTAGGCGGGCAATGAAAATTTTTAAATTGGTCCAAAAATTTTCTCACTCTTTTAGGCGGGTAAGCAAAAATACCGGTTTGATATTGTTTCGAACTTGAATGATAATGTAACGAACCGAAAAGTGAGTTTTCAAATGGTTCTAACAAATTATATCCCGAATCAAACCGAACCATTTTCATAATAGTACAGGATGGGTTTCCAAAAAATGAAGAGTGAAAATACCTAATTGTTACCAGTATAATAATAAAATACTCCGTAATAAATTAGTTATACATTTTTTTTGTCAATTGAATTTTTTACTCACATGGATCCAATTCCACAAGATACCCATATTTTTGACAGTATAACATCATACCTGTATTGATAACTAAACTAGTTACTTGCACAGTTCCAGTTTGGCAGATCAAATCTTTAAATTCATCAGATCGGATATAATTAGATCGAATCAGACTAAAACAGATCTAAGCGGATCAAATCAAATTCAAATCCAATAAGATCAGATCAAATCTTAAAAATATCTTTTTACTTGTATAATTTGTGTCATATTTGCCTGATCTAATCCTTAAATGCATCATATCTGATCTAGTTAGATCGAATAAGAGCAAAACAGATCTAATCGCATCAAATCCTAATAGGACATAACCAATACAACTGAATAGATTTTCTTTGGATAATTTAGAGATGATCACATTTGATTTGAATTTGATTTGATTCAATTAGATCTGTTTTAGTATGATTTGATCTAATTTGGTCCAATCTGATGCATTTAAAGATTATATGAGGCAAATAAGACACAACCTACACAAGTGAATAGATCTTTTTTGAAGATTTGATCTAATCTTATTGGATTTGAATTTGACTCGATCTGGTTAGATCTATTTTTGTCTGAATCGAAATTTGATCTAATTAGCTCTAATCTAATGCATTTAAAGATTAGATCAAACAAATAGGACACAACTTATATAATTATATTATTTTTTTCGAAGATTTGATCTGATCTTAATAGATTTGAATTTGATTTCATCTGATTAGAACTATTTTGGTTTGATTCAATCTAATTAGATCTGATTAGTTATATTTAAAACTCTTTTAATTTTATCGTATTTGATTAGATCTATCTGCTAGATCTAATTCTAGTTATATTTAAAAACTCTTTCTAATTTGATCTTGTTTAATCTGATTTCATTATATATCATCTAAACAACATATAAACATGATAAATTGAGATGCCCGCTCACATGAAATATGCAAGCAATACGATCTGATTGAATTTGATTTGATTTGATTTTATCTTATCTGATTAGATCTAATCTGCTAAATCTAATTCTAGTTATATTTAAAAACTCTTTCTAATTTGATCTGGTTTAATCTGATTTCATTACATATCATCGAAACAACATCTAAACATGTTAAACTGAGATGCAGTGATCTGATTTGGTATAACATTATCTGTATGTGTTTTTTTGAAATATAATAAGTCGGTGAGTATGAACGATGGTGTCTTTTAAAAAAATTGAGATAAAGAATGGTGGTCCCGAAGTGGTGAGTTACAAAGTCTAGAGGGAGGGGGGTGAATAGACTTTGTTACAAATTTTAAAAACTTTTTCGTTTCTTTTCAGAACGTGAAAATGAGTGTTAATCTAGAGTTCTTGTGAACTTTAGATTATGTGCGGAAGTTGGTGGGTAGAGTGAGCAGTAATCAATATGGATGGGTTAGTTTTCTCAGTTAATATAATTGCAAGTAAGAATAAAGATAAAAGAGAGAGACACGCAAACTTTAACGAGGTTCGAAGGTGGGGTAATCCTTCTACGTCCTCAAAATCCACTATGTAGTTGGTTGTTGAATAATGAACCAACAATTACACTTGTGTGAATTTCTGCACGGTATATCTTCGCAAGGCCAATGTTGCTACTACACTCGTGCTGGCTTTGTTGTTCCTTTGAAGGTCACGCTTCTTCAACAACTGCAAGGTCCGAACAATAGGACTTGCAAGACCAACTTGTAAGAAAGTTGACCTACCCCCTTTCAATCAATAAGTTTGATCAAAAGTTGTATCCTTCAACGTGGTGTGGTACTTGAGGCAAGGAAACCTTCAAGTATTTACATTATAGCTTTTTGGAAGGAGGAGAAGTTTGCTTCTGGATAAGGAGTTTAGAAATCTCTCTTTATCATGCTTTTTGGGCTAACTGTGAATGAGGTAGTTG